TAGCAATGCATTGCTGGTACCAGATGCAAACATTAGATGCATAGAGAAATACAGAGTTGCAGTTACTTGAAGAATTAATTACAGCTTGTCACTCTTGGGTTCTTTAGCATCAGAACAACTAGGAAATGCATTTAATAAAATCAGAGTTGTGGTAATTTGGGCACTAGTTTCAAGAGATCAAAATAGGAGACCATATTCTATGTATGGCTCTGCTCTTATTTGCAGTACACAGAGTAGCTCTCATATGTAAAATCTCCCAGGTGGAATTCTTTAGTTTTGTTCTGCAGAACTATATGTTTAAATATATCTAGAAGCAAGTAAAAAATACATGTAGATGTGTGTGTACATATGTATGTTTAATTTTGTTTCCAGCAGCCTTTTTGTTAAGATGGTGGCATCTTCAGGTGCAGGTGGATAATGATGATTGTAAGAGATGCAAAGTTGCTTCCCAAGAGAGAAACCTGGGGTTTAGGATCACTTATAAAGCAGCAAGGAAAGGCTCACAGTTCAGAAAGTCACTTAAACAAACTTGTATATAGATTAACCTCTCACTTCCATTGCATGGAAAATATTTACAGTGTAGTTTTCCCATTAATGGTTGTATAAATTGTTTAATTTACTTTTCACAGTATGGGAAATTGGAAGACAATAAAAATCAAAATGAGTGCAAGGTATAGTCAGGAGATAATGAGGTCTATTATATGTGGGTCTAACATATGTACTTTTTCTTCCCAAAAATATAACTGAAGAAGTAGTAGGCAAGTTCAGCCCTCCTGCAAGCTATGTTGTGGTAAAACAGTCTATTTCCACAGAGCCATGTACTGTGACTTGTAGGGAAAATCACTTTTGCTACCTTTGGACCACTTTTAAATTAATCTACTTCAGGTTATATATGTTAGCAGTGCATCCCAGTTCTGGAAAATGTGTTTGACCAAGGGTGTTTTCCTGATGAGAGTGGAGCTTGGCATAAGAGGGCTCTGGATGTCCTCACCCTGTGGCACAAGGGGATCTTGGTGAGTGGGTGCAGTCAAGGGAAAGGATGGTTGGCACAGCTGGGGCTGCTCTGGGCAGCCCTCTGGCACCCCTGGGGTGGGTTTAGCTTCCCTGGAGCACAGAATCTGTCTGCAAGCAGCCTTCCAGTCTAAACCTCAGGTGTCTTGGTGAGCTCAAGTGACTGGCTGCAGGACATTTAGGTTCTGGGGACCCGAGTGTGCTGTATGTCTTTGCTCTTTGGTTAATTTTGGCACAGAATGCACAAAAAGTTTAGTCAGTGGAGTCTTGGGATGGTTCTGGATTTTGAATGCTGGTTTTCCTTCATTTTAATCTCATATGGAAGTAGTGATCCTGGCCCTGGTGAGTTTAATGGTAAGAAATCCACTGACTTCAGCAAGGACACAACTTCTCAGAGAGACCATGCCCTTCCACCAGTAACAGCTTCATGCAGCTAAGAATTTAGAGGCAGGTCATAAAAATATATAGAAAGGAGGTTACATTCCCAGAAAAGAATCACTGGAATAGTTTTGAAAATGATTTTTCCAACACTAATAAAGAAAATGTAATAGACCATTTTATGCTCCTGTCCTTAGGCTATGCCTTATACCATGATCAATATAAAAGAAAATTATATTTCCTTGATTACTCATTCAAGCAGAAAATGAGTTCTGTTACCTGAAAATTTAGAAGTTTCCCACGTAATTGGATAGCCTTTGTACATCTTCAATTTTTGATGTTATTGGGTAGTTCATGTTATTTACTAGGATGTTTTAGTCTAATCATTTCTTTGACAGGTTAAAATATCACTATTACAGTGGGAACATTCTCCTGACAGTGGAAACCATTTAACAAATTAGATGCTGAATGCAATTTGCTGGTTAGTGATGCAGAATATACAGTGCATGAGCAAGAAATAGTTTAAATATCAACTAGAAACTATGCAAATTACACAAAAGGATCCTGCATTGTGCCGGCTCTTTCCCCTTCTTCCAAGAGTGCAGAAGACACTGGCAGGAATAATTTGAGCAAATAAATTGTATAGAAATCTTCTGCTTAAGAATTACAGGCTCTTCTTTCAGTGCTGAGCACACTCAAAAAAAAAATAGAGTTTAGGATTTGAAGGAGAGTGGATTAACCAGGAGTATTCATCATTTCTCTCTGGTACTCATGCAATAGTCATCAGTCTTGAGGGGTGTCTGCCAAAGACAGGCTGGTACCTTTCAAAGTGTTTGTAGGGCAAATCTGCCACCTTGGCTTGCAAGAGTGTCCCTGAGGCCCCTTAGCCCTGGTGTGGGTCCTGTTTGGATTTGTGACTAGTGCACAGCAACAACAGCAAGCCAGCTGTGACAAAGACAGATCTCCCAGCTCCTGCACCTGCTGAAGTTTCAGCAGAGCTGAGGTTTAACTTCAGCCAGAACATCCCCCCTCGCTCACTCTTTCTTCCCCCCAGCTGGTGGGATGGGGAGGGAATCAGAAAAGTAATAGTGAGAACACCTGTGGGCTCAGATAAAGACATAGGGAAAGCAAGAGACAGCCACACAAGAGACACCCACAAAGCTAAACAAGGAATTAATTCACTGCTTCCCATGGTCTGGAAGGTGTTCAGCCATCCCCAGTGGAGTGGGGCCCCATCACACCTAACAGTGGGCTGGGAAAACAGAGAGTTTTGGGTTTTAGTTCATGCACAGAATCACCCAAAAGAAAATCTGTGCCTTTCATCCTCATATTTCTCACCTAATCCATTTCTGATACCTTCAGGCATCAGGCTCTGGTGTTGTCTGCTTGGCAATTTCCCCAGTAGCCCTAGACTGCATGTATTTTATCTTCTTTCTTGTGACTGTGTCTTTGTACGTGCACATTTCTGGGGGTTTTTCTCCTCTAAATCTCTCAAAAGAGGTGTATTAGCCAGATGGTTTTAGTTTGCATGTTACAAAGATTTCATCTGTATAGAATAATTGAATAATTATTTTATATGTAAAAATTTTTCAGCCATGGGCTTCTCTTGAGAGGCCTATTCCATTCCTTCCTAATTCCTACTATCACTATTACTACAGCTCTTCACAAAATGGGAAATTAATTAGTGAGAAGTCTCTAATGTTCATTATTTTTTTGGCTATTCAAGATAAAATAGCTTTGAGAGATAAGTAGGAATGCTGTTTACATTCAACTGCACCCACCATTTCTAGTTTTTGACACCTTTTTTATTACATTTGTGGTGCAGCAGAAGTAAGTGACTGCAGCTTCTGCTGTGCTCAGTATTCACAATCCTGTGGATTCTGTGAATATCCTATCCCAACTTTCTTCCTGCCTCCTTGTTTCGTGTGAGGATCCCTCAGAGCTTTGCTCTTCATCTTGTTCATGAGGAAAGTGTCAGAAAGAGATTAAGGTTAAAATGTCAGGTTTCTCTCATTTTTAGGTGTTGATTTTATGTGTCCAGACCCCAATCCTTTCAAGTGCACTCTGCATTATTAGACTCTCAGATGGAAGCTGCCCTTTGAAAACTAGCCATTGTTGCTTCTTGCTTTCTACATTCTTCTTGTTAAAAATCTCTTTAAGCTGATGGGTGTGCCAGTTGCTTTCCATTCTAGCAGAAAGTGGGAACAAGGGTGAGCCCCTCTGTTTAACAATAATTGGAACATGGGAAGCTCCTTCAGAGACCACTCTGAATGCCAGTAAAGCCTGGAACTGTTAATCTCCTTGTGAGTGGTTGTGTGATCAAAATAACCAAGGAAGAGTCAGCTGAAAAGAGGAGTGCTTCTAGTATGAACTTGAGAGAAGAACAAAAATTGCTTGGAGCTTTTTGTAAAAAGCATTTCTGAAAAAATAAAATGAACTTCCAAGTGATTATTTCCCTGATCAGAGAAGAAGTGGTTTAGGTGTATTCTGCCAGAGAATACACCTAAACCAGAAATAAACAGCCAGAGAGAGATGACTGCAGACCCCACATAGTATAGAAGGATGGGCTTAGAGCAGAGTTGGACCATGAACACTCACAAAAAAATGGTTTAATGAGCACTTGGATTAAAACTGTGCTCATTTGCTCAAACCAAACTCATCCAGGACCATCTTCATCTAGGTGCTGTGTATGTTCTGTTTCCTTTAGCAAAGTAATAGGTGGCATGTTCTCTGCTAATACATTGGCAGCATATTTTTTCTAATGTTCTATTACATGCAAAGCCTATTTGCACTGAAGACTTTGCCTAAATTCCTAATGATTCTGGAGAAAACCCACCTCTGTCTCTCTCCCTCCCTCTCCTTCTGCTGGGATAGCTTCCATGTGAAGTTCCCAAGCTGGAGTGGCTTCTCCTGGACCAGGGGAGCTCCAGAGCCGGCATGAGGGACAGGGAAGGACCATGTGGTCCTGAGAAGGCAAGAAAAAGACTGCTGCTGGTGATGGCAGCAAAGTCTCAGACAGCAGGAGCTGTCCAAGCCAACCTCTGCCAGTAGCTGCTGCCATTGAGGACGTTGATTTTGAGGGAAAATGGAACTAAACTTGCTGCGAAATTTGATCTGATTTAGAAAACTGTACATTAAAAAGATACGTGGTTAGAGCTACCAGGTTCTTTATCTACCTCTTTGTGGTGACACTGAAAAGAGAAACAGCAGTTTCACCACTGTGATCTTTGACATGGCAAGCTGTTCTTAAGTACCTGCAAAGATCAAAAAATGAAGTTCAGTTGCTTCAATTGCTCTAAAAACTTTAGGAACCTCTCAGCCACTTCAAGTGCTTCTGAAACTCTCTTTTCTTGTTCTGCTGGTATCCTTCTGTGTTGAACTTTGCTTTGCTAGTTAGATTTGGGTTAGCTGCTGTGGACAGAAAATGTATTTCAGCTTATTTGAGCATATTTGCTGTCTTGTAAGAGAGACTGAATTCAGAACAGCTGTTCTGGATGTCTGCTAAAGAACTATTGAAGAGCAGGGGTGTGACCAATTACATTTCAGCCCCACACCCAAGCCACTTCATTAATGATTGCTTTAAGCCAGCAGGCCTTGTCTGTCTGTCCAACTCTTCTGTCCCCTCCCATTGCCTATTTTCTGGGAAGCTCGTTGCAAAGAGAGGAGGCAGCAATCATTTGCAAGTCTGGGTGGAGCAGATCTCACAAACAGGTATATGATATTAACTGTTATCTTCTGGAATTGTGTGGTTCACATTTTGTATCACCTGTCAGCTGTCTGCAAGGTTGTTAATTCTTTCTACTGATTTTTGTGGCTTTATGGAAAGAGCAGCCTTCTCCAAATACTCCTACTCTATAATATATGCTTTTGGGGTTTATCTCCTAAATTTGTCTAGTAGGCTAAATGTAACTGCATTAAATGAAGAGGAATAAATAAAAGCCTCCTCAAAAATTACTTTTGACTAGTGTAACTGTAGTAACTCTGAATCCATTATCTCTAGTCCTTAGTGTATGGGGAGGAATTCCTTTAGGGATGAAGTAGTAGGTTGGGGGCCTGGAGGGCATATGAGGTAGGTGAAAAAGAGGAGAAAGAAATGAATATTAATTTCCTGGACAGCAAGAAAAAAATTCTTTCCCCATGACCTAACCATGGTTGTGTATTGGCAAGAAACAGCTTATATTTGAAATGTTTGTATAAAAGGGCTTAGTTTCTGTAGTCTCTATGCCCCAATTTCTCTGGAAGCAGAAAGCCTGGAGAAACAAGATTTGATTTGGATTTTGGGGAAGCAGAGTTGCCTGCTTCATAACACCTGCCAGTAAGCTAAGATCTCAGAAGAAAAGCAATATTTGTTTATTATAATACATTCATTTAATTGCTCTTTCAGGAGTAATGTGTCTACATATAGGTTCTGCTCCAGCAGGATATTCAAGGCCAAGGAGACCAAGGGAAGATAGAGGAATCTGCTGTAAAGCCATGAGCCATGGCTGGGAGCTCTATCTGGAAAGACTTAAAAGAGGGCAGAAGGGAGGTTGAGCTGGGGTGGGGGAATCCTTTTGACCCAAGAGACCAAGCTTCCTATTCAGTAATATCCTATACTGAGTGTGTGATATGGAGACTGCTGGGTTTTTCGTGTGTGATTTATATAGATGTTTCAGATCCATGTTGAGTTTCCTCTAGAAACCCAGGTTTTCTACATTTAAAAACCAGCTTGAATTCAAAATTACTTATGTTGAATGTGTATTTAATGAGGTAAATTGGAGGAAGAGAAAGTCACACACAATCAAGAAACACAAGTTCCACATTCTCAGCCAGAGATTTTCAGCTCTTAACTTTAGTTGTCTCTTGCCGAGCCTGCAACTAATTGAGAAGAGAATGAAATACTGCAGCAATCTTCAATCCTAATGAATGTTGCAATAATTTAATATGAAAGAATTTAAATCTTTAGTTGTTTTCTTCTGTGTGGTACTGGGGTAGAAGCTGTGGTAGCAAAGCAAAGTATTCACCCACTGTGTACTCACAGCAGATGAGGAGAATATACCTTTGCACAAAAAACCACAGGGCTGGATAGTTTCCTTCAAATTCTTTTAGGCATAATTGTGCTATTTATTTCTGCTAATGTAATATTGCATCCTTATTTTCCTTAGGATCTACATAATTTTATGGATATGTGAGAAAATGTGGAGCTATTTTACAGCTGTCAGTAAGTGTCCTTGAGAACAATGCCACAGCAATTTAATGAGGTATATAAGAACCTGTAACCACTGATGAACAGTGTCCAGGACGATTCTTTCTGCAGCTCTGCTCTGGTCCTGCTTCTTCACTCCTCTTTCATAGTGCTCCTTTTACTATAACACCTCCAGAAACTTGTAAGAGGTGGTAAAAATGTTCTTTGTTAAGCCACTCTTCAAATTGCTTACATAGTGTGAATTTGCTGGACAGCCAAGTCGTGCCGGTGAGACCTGGTGCTAAATATAGTGGCAGTGCTGGGGAGAAAACGTAGTGCTCTTCTGGGGATTCTGTGGCCAGTGCACACCACGGAATGGGCACAGTGTGACAGTGTGTCCTGTGGTCCCAGGAGCTGCTCAGCCTTCAGCAATTTTAGGTGATAATGACGTAAGTAAATTATTCTGTCCAGGACAAGACAGTCATCCAGGATGGGCCTGCATTGTCAAGTAGGTAAATTTACCCATTTTACTCACTACACCACCTTTGTCTAAAGAAAGTGCTTTTGAATCTATTGGCACTAATGTATTTTCCTTCATGTACTTGGACACACAGGGGAGCATAACATCCTGAACTACGTCTGATTTGGATTATTTTTTTCTTGTGTATTGCCTCAAGGCTCCTTGTAGCTGCTCCCCATGTCTGCTAGGCAGGTGCTGCTTCACTTACAAACTCCTTCAGCTTGCAGTCTAATTATTCCTTTTTGTGTGTGGAAACTCCCGTCTTGAAAACTCCCCCCTCAAAAAACCCTAGGTGGAAAATACATTAATTAAAGGTCTTAATTTTATCTTGTTGTAGGAAATATTAGTTTACATTATATATATAAAAGAGAGAGAAGAGAATGTGAGTTATTTTTCTTTGTCTGCTGCCAACCTGTTTCTGATTTACCTAGATGCTCTTCTTTCGATTTGGTTATCTAACACATAAAATATTTTAAACAATCTGAATTTTCCTTGATTGAAGGGTTTTGTTCCTATTACCCAAAATAGCTGTGGCTCCTAACTGAGTGGTGATCTGAGTGGAAAGATACAATCCACAGGTAACCCCTTCATGCTGCTCCCAATGCTTATTTGGTTCCCAGATATTTTGAGTAAAAGATTTGCAGGACCAGGGTATGGTACAGATTGTTGAGGGGCTACATCAGGATATGAGAAGAATGCAGCCCTTTTATGTGCAAAAAAATAAGGTGCACTTCTATGGTGTTCAGCAGAAAACCTTTACTGTGTGTCCCATTTGCCCTGAGGGTGGCTGGGAACATGACCTGGTCCTTAAACAGACAGAAATAGGATTACATGAACACGAGTCACACTCCATATAAGAACTAATCATCAAAAAGCACTGGCATTTAAATCCCCCCTAGCTTGCAAAAGGCTTTATCTTTTAAAACAAAAGGAAATTCAAATTAAAAGCAGCAGTGTTTGGACCAGCAAAACAGTAATGTGAGGAGACAAGGAGGCTCAGGGAAAGCACAGAGAAACAAGGTAGAGACAAATTTGACACTGAGAAAAATTGCATTAGCAAAAAGTAATTATAGGAAGGGCTGACTGAGTGACAATGATATTACCTTGGTCTGGTTCTGGCTATGCTTGCAGAGATGTTGATAGCAAAGGGGACAAAGCTCCTTCAGCTCCTAATTCTAACAAGTAGTTTTGTACAGTTGTGTGGACTTGAAGGTTCTTTGGTGTCCAAAATGTGAGGATGAATAACATGGGGCTTTATCCCAGCAAATTTATAAGCTTGGTATATGGCTTTATCCAAGATAATTTATAAGCAAATTTATTAATTTATCTTGAGTAAATTAAATTGATTCTTAGCAACTAATCAAGGATTATGGAAGACATTGCAATGTATAACTGAGAAATGGACCTTGCTGACTGTGTTAAAATTTTATGAGTTTTTCTGTTGTTTTGCTTTTTTGTTTGTTTGGTTTGGGTTTGTGTGATTTTTTGGTAAATGCTAACTCAGTATGCTGCTTTTGGCTAGGGTAAATCTGTTTTTGTTCATAGAAGCCAGCACGGGGTATGGTTTGAATTGCTGCTGGAGAAGGCACATCTTGAAGCATCAGTGGCTGTGCATGAGGCTGTGCTGGAGCAGGTCCAGCCCTAAGTGATTGTAGTTTGTGGTAAGTGCAAGCTGGAGCAGGAAGGAGGGGAGCAATGTTAAACCATAAAACCTCACTCCAAGGGATCAGGAGTGGAGATGGTAGTGGAAATAGCTTTCAGTTGTTGTAATTCATGACTTGAGCTGTATGTTATGGGAGCTGCTACAGCAGGAGCCACCAGAAGCAGAGGACAATCCTTAAAACTGCAGCAGACACCTGACCTGAGCTGCTTTGGTGTCTGATACCTCCCCACAGCACAGCACCTCTCATGTCCTGAGTGAGCACCACATCAGATGGAGCACAAAATCATGGGCCGCGTGAACCTATTGGGCATTTTGGGGATGCTTGTGGTCTTTTATGGATGTTTTACAGACAGTTCACATGGGTGATCCATAGACTGAGGGAATGTTATCTGTGAAATACATAAAACAGTGGGAGGAATGAGGGTGGTGGGTGATGATGATGTGTAGGAGCTGAGCAGGATGTCAATGCTATGGGATAAGAAGTGGAGATTGTGCTGGTTTGGGCTGGGCTGGAGTTAATTTTCTTTATAGTAGCAAGTATGGGGCTGTGCTTTGGATTTGTGCTGGGAGCGGTGCTGGTAACAGAGGGATGGTTTAATTATCACTGGGCAGAGCTTACACAGAGCCCAAGCTTCTCAACACCCCACCAGAGAGGAAACTGGGGCTGCCCAGGAAGCTAGGAAGGAACACAGCCAGGACAGCTGACCTCAGCTGACCAAAGGTATGCTCCAGACCACAGGGTGTCATGCTCAGCATACAAAACTGGGGGAAGAAGGAGAAAGCAAGGGGGACATTTGCAATGATGGCATTTGTCTTCTCCAGTCACTGTCAGATGTGATGTAGCCCTTCTTTCCTGCCTGCCCCTGGGAAGTGATGAATGAATCCCTTGTTTTGCTTTGCTCCTGTGGGAGACTTTTGCCTTACCTATTCAACTGTTTTTATTTCAACCCACGAGTTTTCTCACTTTACTCTTCCAATTCTCTCCCCCATCTCACTGAGGGGAAGTGTGTGACAGGCTGTGTGGTGCTTAGTTGCAGGCTGGGGTTAAAGCATACCTAAGCTTTTTTTATTTTAAGCATAAAAAGCTTTGTTTTATATGCAGTAAAACAAAGATATTATCCCAAATGGCTTCCAGTTAATTTGCTTTTCTTGAAAATGAATATAGCTACACTGAAGAAAAATAACCTCCCCCTTGTCTGTGTTTGTGCATCTGGTATTTAAAAAACAATGCCAAAGGAGTTTATTTATTGTGCTGCCCAAAATGTCTAAGATGAGTACATTTCTGCTTCAGAGCAAATGTTAATTATGTTTCAGGTTTTCCTGTGACAAAGATAGAAAAAGTTTGATTTAGCCTTTTAAAAACC